TATTAAAAAGGGGATTTCAAATTTCATGAATATACAATTATCACATGTGCATAGAGAAACAATGTTATGTGAAATGTATAACTATTACGCTGAAAAACGAGGTTAGAGCAGTTCTACTTTCAGGAAATATTTCAAAAAATTTAGATGACATATATAATTATTTAGACACCAATACAAGTGTTCCCTCATTTAAGTCATCAATATCCGAAGCAATAGATGTTAGTGGTATAACTTTTGAAATTTCCTCTGAGTTAGCTAAGTATATGCGCGTGGACGTTCGTAGTGTGATACAACCAAAAGAATTAAATGAATTTAATCTTTTATCATAGTTGAGGTGTAACGAATAGCAAGATCTAATTCTATCTAAAATTGCAAGCGATCTACTAACATTTTCGAAGTCTACGGTAGCATCAGAGACTGCATTTAGTTTAGGTGGTCGAGTTTTATCAAACGAACGATTAAGACTAAAAGAAGATATGTTGAAGGCTTTAATATGCTTGAAAGATTATGAATGTGTAGAATTACGTATTCAATATTCTGGACAGCCCAAATCGACAACTTTTACATGGAAATCATTGTCTAGGAGAATGTTGTTGGTTCTTACATCACGATGCACGATGTCCGATTTATGGAGATAAGCCAGTGCATCGGCTGTTTCAATGGCAATATTCAACCGAATTGGCCATGAAAGCAAGCCAGATTTTTCCCATTTTCCATGCAAATGATCAGCCACTGTTCCATTCGGTATATACTCGTAGACTAGCACTAGGTCTCGGCTACTTTTTGATGTGCATCCATACAGTATCACAAGGTTATGGTGTCTTAATCAAGTTAGGATCTCGACTTCGTTCCTGAACTGCTCTACCCGCTTGAAATTGTTCTCATATAGATACTTCACTGCAACTACACTACCATCACGTAGCATACCTGTTTGAGAAATAGTAAAGTCACTTTGTTTAATAGGGTTGAGTAGGGAGTGAAGAAACAAATAATTGATTAGTCATTCAACTATACGTAATGGATTAAGCTCTAGTCTCAATCCTGCGGATATACTTGATATAATCGAAAAAAAGAGGTACACGATGGACTTACAACTCTCAGTATTTTCTCTCAAAACACACACAAAAACATAAAAAATCCACCTCTACAGATATCTTCATATAATTAAATAATGTAGGAAGATCGGGTGACCTACTACAAAGAGATGAAAGCCCAATACACCTATGTTAAAACAGATCGAGGGAAAAGTGAACAATACATTAGACTCTGCATAACTAAACACTAAAAGATGCCTC